AATCTCATGCGACTTCCATGAGGAGGCAGACGCAATGCGACACTGCAGTCTGTCGTACGTGCAGCGGTGGAGTTTTCTGATCATGAAAGAGTGCTGTGGGTTCCTGAAAATAGATACGATTCCAGGAAAACATTCCCCCTTAATCACTCATTTAGTCAACGAAGCTAAAGCTATGTACCTGGGCTCATGGATTCGAGGCTGGAATCCAAACAGTAACCGTCATGACATGCCTTCCTCAGGTTCTCTGTCAGGACAGCCACTCTCCTTAAAGAAGAAAGGAGAAGCTGCCCTTCTGCAGAAACAACCAACGCCACAGTGGCTGAAACCGCGCGTCCCCCTGGAGCCCCTCCGCAGACCCAGAGCAATATCTGCTGCATTGAAACTGCTGTATCCGTTAGCAGTCATAGAAGAAGAGTCGGGTGACGTTATATTGCACTGAGTAATGAGTAACAATTAGAATCACTTGCTAACTGCATCATAGCATTTGACACACCATAGATTGTATTTTTTTTTTGCGTTGAGTGTTTTAAACTTTAATGTATTTATGTGTTATAATTTTTCTTGGAATAAATGTTTTCCCCGGACTGTCATGTCTTTCCTTTTATCTTTAGCCTGCAATGATGTGTTTGTGGAAAAGTGGAAAATTAGCAAATATTCGATCCATCAATTTCAACGCCATTGGTGAAGAGTTCATGTTCTCTGAGCACATTTAACATTTAACATCCTCCTCTCACTCAATCATGGAGCCCTTCTGGAGAAGCTGCCAATTCTGCAGCTACTCAAGAACTCGAAGGTTCAATACTGTGTTCACAAGAGCCCTCCACTGGTCCCTATCCAGAACAAGATCAATCCAATCCATACCATCCCATTCTCTCTCTTAGATCCATTCTAATATTGTCCACCCACCTACGTCTTGGTCTTGACTTGATCATTCTAATTATACTTGGAGAAGAGTACAAGTTATGAAGCTTCTCATTATGCAGTTTTCTTCTACCTCCTGTCACTTCAGCTCTCTTCGGTCCAAATATTCTCCTCAGTAGCCTGTTCTCAAATGCCCTCAGTCTATGTTCCTCCCTTAATGTCAGAGGCAAAGTTTCACGCCCATACAGAGCTACAGGCCAAATTATAGTCTTGTATATTCTAATATTTATGTTTTTAGACAGCAGACGAGGAGACAAAAGTTTCTGGACTGAATGGTAGCAAGCATTACCTGAGTTCAATCTCCTCTTAATTTCCTCCTGAATCAGATTTTGATTTCTTATAGTCGTTCCCAAATATCTGAATTGTTTGACATTTGCAAAACATCTGTTACCTATGTAAGATTTGAGGCTTTCACGGCGGTGACTATGAAGAAAGCAGTCTTCTGGGATTTGGCACCACATATACACGGTGCCAATCCCAGAAGACTGCTTTCTTCATCTGTTACCTATCTTTATTTCCTGATTTCGCCCTGTATTTTGGTGACGAGACAGCAACATATACTTAGTTTTCTCTGTGTTTACTTCTAGACCAACCTCCTTACTAGCGTCAATCAAAGTTCGTGTGTTTATCTTTATGGTATCAATGTAATCTCTCAATAGATTTACATCCTCAGCATAGAGCAGGTGAATATAGAATTTTCTATGGAAAGGGGAATGAAAATCATGAATTAGGTATAAGTTTTTTTTCGTAAATAAGAGCATCATATCAGCAGTTAAGATAGTAGAGTTCATTAGTGATAGCATATTATTCATAATACCAAGAGATCGCTGGTGTGATATTATCGTCCAGAATGTTCATGCATCAACAGAAATTTAACGTCCTCTTACAAGGGATATTTGTGACCAACTTGAATTTTTTTTTTCGATTGTCGACTAATAAAAACCAATCGAGGTAAGAAAGTGAGCATTGTCATGAAGGGTATGGAGGATTCAGCTGTTCTTAATCTTGATGCTTGGTGGCGAGTGGCCAGTTTCATGCTCTGAACACGCTTTTATCGGTACATACTGATTAGGCGGCCGGTTGGGCCAGAATCTCGTCTTCTGACGTTTGTTATTTGTGAACGTAAAGGCATACACAGAACTGTACTTTTAACCATTGTTTTATACGGGTGCGAAAAGTTGTGTTTTGCGTTATGATAAGAGCTTAGATTGAGAATGTGTGAAAATAGGAGCTGAGGGGAATATTTGGACCTAAGAGCGAGGAAGTAGCAGCAGACTGATGACGATTTCACTATTTGAGCTTCGTAATTTGTGTGCCCTGCTCTAAGTGCCAGGTTAAAGAGTGTCGCGTTGTCAACGCAACGAATCCCCACGTCCGTTAACTTCGGTTTTCTAAACAGGAGCCGCTAGTTACTTGATATAGCTCCTCATTTATCCGCAGGAGGCTGAGTGGAACCCGTTCCAGACCCACTACGTCTCAGAATATCTGGAAGCGCCGGGAATTGAACCCAGAACTTCTGAATTCATATTGTTTCCCTACAAGGTGAAATCGAAACTTTTAATACCACATCCTGAATGTAAGTAAGCATGCCTTGTTTAACAATAATTTCAACTTCTGCTCCTCTTACCTCACAAAACTTATCCGGAGAAACACAAAACTATAAGAATTGGAACGATCACGATTTTCAAAAGTTTTCTCAGTTCACTTTTGATATCTTTAGCTTACAGCACTGTCGGATATATGCAACATATCAGAAAACGAAAGAGTGCGATTTGGACCTAACCTAACCGTTTTTATTTAGTATTGCTAGTGGGATGGGACTAAGTCCCTTGTACTGCGGCCACTTCTGGCCTATTGTACCAGCCCCAGATGATAGGTGAGGGTGACTGTGGAGCAATTGGTGGAATGAAGATTGGCAGGGGAAACCGAAGTAATCGGAGAAAACCTGCTCCAGCGCCACTTTGTCCACCACAAATCCCACTTGACCAGACCCGGGATCGAACCCGGGCCGCCGCGGTGGAAAGTCAGCTACTAGCCACTTGAACTATGGCGCGGCCCTACATTCTAACCTGAGGCACAAAATTCCGTCCTTGAGATAACCTTTTATTTTTACAGAAACTTTTTTCCTAAATTACTTCTAAGATATTTATGGTGGGAGAAACGGCTCTTGTATCCCGTAATGACGAATCTGATGCATTTAAAAAGCTTCAGGCAGCACAGGAACGTGTTTTGCAATCGTATCGTGTGGGTAGAAATTGAGGTGCTCAAAATGCCAGCTCAGTTATTGGCACTGAGTTCATTACTTATAGGTCAAATGATGAAAACAGCTCACCCCGAACGAGAGATTTGTGATCCACGAAGAGCATTGGGTGTTGAAGGATTTCATCTGCTACATCAAAGTTCTCCTGGATATATTGATGCAAATCTGAGTTACAAATCACATGGGCTCAGTTCATTTGCTTCCAGGCTTGTATGTCGAATAATTTCTCTCTTACGCTGTATTTTTAAAAAACTTCAATGTCAGAAAAAATATGCGCATTGTTCATTGTAACATGCTTATTGAATTTAAAGAAGTGACGCATTGCTTATTTCTTCCAGCATTATTTAGGAAATGCAGTCACTGTATATAATGATTAGCGGGGACTCCTTCCCTGGGGGTAAAGCGGCCGGGGCATGAAGCTGACTACTCACCTCCAACTAGTGCCGAGGTCATGAAAATATGGATCTATGCATCTACTCCCACATACGCCTTCACAGCATAATGTTTAATTAGTTAAGCACAGGGACAACTTTACCTTTTGTCACTATGTACTATACACAACACACACTGATGCACTATATGCAGCACCGTCATTGAACGGATCATCAGCTGACCAACAAACAGTCTTTCTACAGCCAACGGGCGCCGACAAGTCAAAAAAAATTCCTCCGAATATTTCATGTCGGTGTTCTTCGGTGACTACATGTAGTTCAGTTTAGTTTAGTTTAGTTTCGTTTCGTTTCTTAGTAGAGTGGGCTGAGACTGACAAGGGAATGGTCCGATCCGACATGTCGAAACCTGCCCTGATTTTTTTTTTCACTGCAAGAGTACACACAACAAAATCCACTGTCAAAATTTTAGCTGCTAATACGCACTGCAAGTATTTTTTAAAAATTTCCGAAATTACTCCTTTTTTGTGTACGCGGAACCGCTTGTACCAGAGGTTTGTACAACCCCAGCTGTGTACTTGTCAGATTACGACGCATTTGTGCCGTGTTATCTGTCTACCAATGCACCGGAAGCCTAGGCTTTGAGTCAGCCGTACTGCGTATTGCCTACTGCTCTGCTAGGGGTGGACATTTCTCCAAGGGTCTGGCAGGTTATAAAATTGGCCATGTTCAGCAATTTTTAAAAAATACTTGCAGTGCGTATTAGCAGCTAAAATTTTGACAGGGGATTTTGTTGTGTGTACTCTTGCAGTGAAAAAAAATCAGGGCAGGTTTCGACATGTCGGATCGGACCATTCCCTTGTGAGTCCACTTGGTACGCCGGCCGCTAACTGGCCTATTGTGCCAACGCCGGACGAGAGATGGTGAGTGCCCCAGTGCCACTTTGTCCAACACAAATCCCACATGACTCGACCTGGGCTCGAACCCGGGCCGCCGCGGTGAGATGCCGGCAACTAACCACCTGAGCTATGGCACGGCACGTGTAGGTGACATATGATGCAGTCATAGTCGTTAGAATACACATATTTGGAAACATTTTGTCGATCCGCTGATGGTTCGTTCATCGATTTCATTACGTGTAGTGTGGATAGAACTTAAAAAAGAGCATTTTAAAAATCCTGCATTTGCGTGTTCATACGTCAGGGTGTTTCTTAATGTCTCCCATATATTGAGGAATCTGAGCTGTACCAAACGTGTCCGATGAATTAGTAGCTAGCAATGGTCAGGTAGCTACACTGAAGTTTTTCCAGACACAGCAATTCAATTCACGCAGAAAATCCTGTACATACGGAATGTCCCTACAATTTCCCTTCTACTAAGAAATGGCGGAGAAAATATTATTGCAGCAGTTGCAGGTGTGAGCAGTGAGCTTGAAGTGCAATCAAGTTTCGTTAAAGTTGTGAACGGTTGTAAATACAATTGGAAGAATAGAGCAGTATGGGGAGAAAATCGAGGACGGGTCTTGTGGCTACAGCAGTTGCAGCTTTGGCATTTTTGTTTATTTTTATTGCTTTCGTCTCCCCATATTGGCTTGAAACGGATGGAAAATTAAAAGATCCTAAGTTTCTAAACATAGGTGAGTTCATTAAGTTGAGGTTATTAATAGGCGTGGCCCCAGTTTGTTGTACCTTAACATTTTGAGATTAGTAATGCGAAGTGAAGGAGTGTGATTCGAAGTTTTTCTCGTTCGGAACAATAACATGATAATTTTAATCGGAATACATTCGGCTCTTCTTACGTTTTCTCAAACAGTAACCATTTCGGATATCCTACGGCTTCAAGTAGTGCTTGTATTCAGCAGTGTATACTGTGTCTGAAATGAACTTAAGGTGAAGTTTTGGATTGGAGTGTTATTTCTGAAGTACCCCATTGCATTCTATTTAGGAGCTAACACACACAGTCATCATGTAGCAATCAAGAAGTTTGGCCAGTCTTCACTTACACTAACCTCGGTTGGCCAATGGTCCCTTCATAAAGCTTCCCTGATTCCTAGTTACTTTTGGTTAATTTCAGTTACCTGTGAAGAACATATCTCTAAATAAAACTGCATAGGTAATATCTTCACGAAAGTAATGGTACATGCATTAGGGGCCCAAATGCTAAATGTCGCTTTTCTTTAAATTGGCTTAAGTCATCAGACAAATTTCTCTGTATTCAGCAACCATCAGTGGCCTACCATGCAATGACTTTTCTCATTTGCAAGGTAATGTAATTGAGCTTAATTGTCACGAGAAAGTATATGCTCTTATTTTGTGCCAGTTTCTTTTTACGAATAGTTCTGGCAGTCTGTTTCTTTGCATTCTGTCAACAGGTTGAATACTATGGTCAAAATTTTGGTCAATGTGGGTTATATTTTCAGTTTGCTTATTATGTCATAACTTTTATAGGCCATCCAAGTGTATTTCACCATTTGTATCATAAAATTAATTTCATTAGCTGTTAATTTGGTTGTGTCTTTTGCATTCATTGTCCAGCAGTTACTCCCACATACCTTAAGGAACTCTCTTGATAGGGCCTCGTTACGAAAGTTAGAAATGTTGGTTTCTGTATGTTTTTCCTTTCATATGACATCATCCAAGGAACTTGAATGTATTAACTTTCTGTATGATCTCATTGTTAATTACTATTTTATGAATAAATGAATGAATGAATAAATGGAGTGAGTGATGGGTGGGTCATAATAATTTTGCCACTTGCACCACTACCTTCAATGATTTATGGTGCTTCATGTTTTAATTAACCCTTTATTAATCATACACTTCAAATGAATTGTAGGACTTTGTTTAGGGGGACATCATAGAAGTCACTTGGTTCCATAAAAAACTGGCCCATGTGATAAAATCTTCAATAAGCTATTGCCTCACCGTCACATAGGATATGTGTGGCTGGTTCACCTTCTTCTAGGCACCTTTCATAAGTGGGATCATCTGTCAGTCACAGTTTGAAAGGTGTACTTTTATGTGTCCTGTAAATAGTCCTACCACCCATCTTAATTGGTCTCTAATTACAAGAGATTCCTCATTCTTCTGGCAGAGTGTTCTAGTATAAGTCCGTTTGCCTGTCGGAGTCCAGCTATAGATTCCCAATGTCTTTTGTGATTTCTGTTTGTCCACGCCCTGACCACTTTCTTGGCAACCCCAATTGAGATGCCGCAAGCTGGTTCAGGTCCTAAGATTGGAAACAACATGGGTTACACTACAATGGCCTTGTGCTTTCTTTTCACTCATTAGTATGTGCAAGCCAAAGCCACCATGAAACCCATCCTCCCAGTATATTAAATATCTTACATTGCATCTGTTGGTGGTACGGTTACTTCTTCTTAGGCCACGCCATAGCTCAAGCGGTTAGTCGCTGGCTTCCCACCGCGGCGGCCAGGGTTCGATCCCGGGGTCTAGTCAAGTGGGTTTGTGGTGGACAAAGTGGCGCTGGGGCAGGTTTTCTCTGAGTACTTCAGTTTCCCCTGCCAATTTTCATTCCACCAATTGCTCCACTGTCACCCTCACCTATCATCTGGGGCTGGTACAATAAGCCAGAAGTGGCCACAGTACAAGGGACTTAGTCCCACGCCACTAGCAAAAAAAAAAAAATACTTCTTGTATGACCAGCGTTTTATGAGCTGGTGTTGAGATTTTAAAGTTCAGCTTTATATAAAGTAAGAGTGTTGCATGGGGTTTAATTATAAACCAAAATTAAATGCACCTGACAACATTTACAGCGGACCTTGTTATACCAGTTTTTATTCAAGTCTGATGATTTTATTTAGCAATATCTGCCAGTTATCAGTTTTCTTTCAGGTCTGTGGCAGGTTTGTTTCCAAGGTTTTGTTGATCCTCATCACTGGTATGAGACAGAGTTTTATGGCTGTTGGTGGGTATTTGAAGAGGAATATTACATTATCCATGACATCTTGCTACCAGGTAAGAGGCAGAAAGTTCCACTTTGCATGAAATATGTTCCACATGTTTTATTTTGGTATGCTTTGTTTAAATACTTTATTTTGCTTGCCAGTGAACTTTACAGCAGTTAAAAACATGTGGGGTTTTGTCAGTGGTAGAATTCATGTGCTCTGATAAAGTTTAAATATTAGCGGCCTCCGTAGTCTAGAGGTAACGTTTTACCTCATGACTCGTAGTATGCGGGTTCAAATACCCGGCGGAGGTTGTCGAATTTTTAAGGGCGGAAAAATTCAGGGAACAAGTCCTCCGGGAGGGACTTTAAGCCGTGGGTCCCGTGTCGTAGCTTTACGGCATGTAAAAGAACCTCATATCTCCAAAGGAGGTCACTGAGCCAAATTACCGGATGTTTCCCGCCCAACAGCAGACTCTAATACCTCTGGTAGATGAGGGAGGCATTATAGATACCTCTCAGCTAGTAGAGCCGGTCTCGCTGGCTGGGCGGGACTGATGGTAAGCACCAGTACCGCTAGGATATAGAGACTGGTAGAAATCATAGAGGGCAGCACAATGGACCAATACAGGTCTCAGTGCATGGGGAAACCCACCCTCTCCCATAACTAACTAACTAACTAAGTTTAAATATTCAAATTGACAATACCTCCTTTAAAAAGTACTTTTTTAATAAAATTTGCACTGCCTATAAAATTACACGTGTAAACTCAGAATGTGTTTTTTAAATGGAACTGGGGAGCTACATTTCCCCATTGTTGGTTACCAGTAGTTATTAATTACTAAAATTCAGAGTACATTTCTTGTATTAAAATGTATTGAGATTTAGCATTTGTATTGATGAAATACTGCTTTCCGCTTCTATAAGGCAAACCAAATTTCTTCAGTAACTTACACAAAGATAAAACAGTTTCCAGGTCAGTTATCTACAAAGTTGCACTGGAATAGGGTTTCTATGAACACTCCTGTTCCTCTTACAGCTTCTCATTCCACGAACTGCTCCAGATTCATTAATTACATATAATTGATACTTTACAGTCTTGATACTGACAATATCATCTATCAATCAGAACTGAGATTTTTAGGTATTTACATCACAGAAAACCTAAAATTGGGTGCCCATGCTTGATTTTTAAGAGCTAAGCTATGAAAAGTAGTTTATATGATAAAAAAGCATTAAAAGATACTATAAGCCAATAAGATAAGAAATATCTACTTTTCAGATTTTGAGTCTTGTCTGCGGTACGGTATTATATTATGGGGAGGGGATAACGAATGTGACACACTCTTTAAACTGCAAAAAAAGGTCCTTTGAATTATCAGTGGGGTTATTAATCAAACATCTTGCTGACAAATTTTTAAAGATTATAATATTTTAACATTGGCTGCGCTATACATACTTGAAGTGATGTTTTATTAAAAAATATAAAGACTTTATGGCAAAAAATTTGGACATCCATAGTTACAGTATGTGAAGAAAACTAAATTTACATGTAAATCATTGCAATACAGTTATTTTTAAAAAAAGTGTGATAAATATGGGAATCGCCTTGTATAATAAGGTCCCTGAGTAGATAAAATTAAAGAAAAATTTTAACTCTTTTAAGAGGGACTTAAAATCATTTCTCTTGAAACATTCCATTGAGGAATTTAGGTTCCTTTAATTCTTAAGTGATTGTGTTATGATTTTATGTAATGACAAATATCTTGTCCTCGCTTAATTCATAAAAAAATTTTGGGTGCAGGGTTTCCTTTGGTTAGTGAACTGTTGCAAGTTGGATGATGTACTGTATGATTGATGTGTATGAAATCTGTAGGTAGTCAAGTTTTATAGTATAGTTGACTCGTGTACGATATGTATGCTGTATTAATATGTAGTTACTGACATGTTCTGTGATGTATCACCAAATATGGATTCTTGGAACAAATAAATTGATTGAATGCTATAAATAACTGACTTAAACAAAATGACACAGTTTATTACAGGTTGCATGCATCAGAGTGACCAGTTTGATTGCATCTAATTATGTGGTCTTTTGTCTGCAGGTTTCTTTGTGGCAACACAGTTTTTTTTCACCCTGTGCTTCACACTTTTACTGATAGCCAGTTTTCTGGTGGCATTGTACCTGTGCTGCAGTAGAGAACATGAGCGGTTTGTGTTGCTTCTACTTGTTATAGGATCTGACCTCACAATAGCAGGTAATAATCATGGAACCAGTAATGCTTACACAGTAATACTATGGCACATTGTAGCATAGTTAGTTGAGGCACTATGCTACCATGTGCCATAGTATTACTGTGTAACGTGGTAGCATAGTTAGTTGAGGCACTATGCTACAAGCCAAAAGGTTGCGGGTTCGAATCCAGATGAGGTGGATTTCTTCAGTTTACCTAATTCTTCCAGCCACGTTATGGCCCTGGCGTTGACTCAGCCTCTATCAGAAATGAGTACTGGAAATCTTCCTGGGGTGGTAAAGGGTGGCTGGCGCATAAGGCTGACAACCTTACCGCCATCTGTGAGCCGATTGTGTAGAAAATGTGGGAACCTCAACATCTTGCAGGCCTGTTACAGGGATACCTTTACTTTTTTTACCTACAGTAATACTATACATTTTCAGTAAATCACATTTACAGAACTGTTAACAAGGTCCAAGCATTGATTGATTGCTAGATTAATCAAGAATTCTGTATCATCTAATAAAATTATGTAGTGGTCAGTGAGAAGTTATGATCATGATGAATTGTAAAGGATGCAGAAGAAAGTGATTGTGACCTGTTTGAAGTAATGTAGCCAGTCACTGTTATGACAGCCTGTACTGTGACCAAGATTTGAACCAAGTGTTTCTCAGACACAGTTCAACCTCATTAGAGGAGAGGTAAACATTAAATTATGTATGTCAACCATACCTTGAATTATGACTTAAACATATTATTCAATGTTCTAAGGGAATCACCTGTGCTCATAAATAACATAGCAAGGAAACTGACACAAAAATAGGTTTGGAATACAGTAGAACTTGGTTATAACGTCATCAAAGGGACCTAAAAATAGTGTCGTTATAAACGAATGTCGTTGTAACCGAAATGGGCACTTCCACAGTAGCCTTATGTTAGTCACGTAAAAATCTACCAAAAACCCAGTTAAAATGTTGCATTTTT